CGTAGTCGTGGCGAGGGGCACGCAATAACCTTTAACTCCTACGCAGACAACTGCTGTAATTAAATTAATTCCATTAACTACTGCTTTAATTACATTAATTACATAATGTAGAACATTAAGTACTGTTTAACTCCATTAATTACAGTTGAAATTTCGTAATTAAAGTACATTAATTACATTTTCAATACTTTTAATTACATTAATTACGGATCGATAATTTTAATGACCGTCAGTACTACTTCAAAACGCATTAATTACTTTAAGTACTATTGATTGCATTTTAACTTCAACACACCGGTTCTTTGCATTGCGTGCCCCTCGAGTCGTGCCCCTTCACGAGACAGACGAAGCATACGCGTCGAAGCTGCACGCACGACGGCCAGGAACGCCGTTGGCAAGAGACCGACAAAGAAGGCGGTCACTTCGAGGACGAAACGAAGTCGTGGCCCTTCGCGAGACGGACGAAGCATACGCGTCGAAGCTGCCAGGAACAGGACCAGGAACGCCGTTGGCAAGAGACCGACAAGGAGGCGAAGTACATCACCACCGCCAAGAGACGGTCACTTCGAGGATCGTGGCGCTTCGCGAGACTGACGCAGCATGTGCAATCTGTCGGACCGATAGTTTCGAGTGACACTCGACGAAGCAGGTCGGCGGACACGGCGGACGGGAAGTACCCAAGGGTGCTGGAGAGTGGTCTTCGATCAACGGAAGAGGAGAAAGCATCGATGTGTGGTGTCGTGCAGCGTCGGTTCGGCGTCTGATTGCAGCGGTTCGTCGAAAAGCGAGCGGCGATAAGGATGCACCCGGCCGGTAACAGTAAGTACTCACAAGAAGAGAAAATATGATTAGAAAGATAATAGGAAGCACCAAGATGCCGTAAGAGCAGGATAGTAAAGGGCCACCCACATTAGATCCGTTTGCGTTGCGTTGACGTAAATTTGACAGTTAGAGAATAGATTTATCTGTCACTTTGCCACAACGCGTCCGATCCGGATCTAATGTGCGTGAGCCTTAAGGTAGTAGGAAAGTAGGAGGAAGAACAACTCCAATGTAAGGGACCAATGGCGGGTTTCAAAATATAAGTATAAAAATGCATTTGGAGTTCGTTTTTGGATTTGTTGGAACTTTTGCCCTTTAGTGTTTGTGCTTTGTCCGCCGCTCGGTAATTTTTGCTCTTGCACTTGCAACAGATTGTTAACTGGCAATCTCACAAGATGTCCCACCGACCACGCTCTTGCAACCTTTGCGACTTTCTGAATACACAGGAATTTCAAGGGAATGCTGGAATTTTAAGGAGAAATTTAACGAGAGGTTCAAGCATGATTCCATGAGAATATAAGAAGAATACTTATGAAAAAGGAATTGTGAGGAGAATTCCGGGTGGATTTTAAGAAGAAATAATGAAGAGAATTCCCTAAAAAATCTTATTCTGACTAGAATTCCAAAATAGTTCTGGAATAGATAATTCTAAAGAAATTGAATGAAGAACTTCTGCGAAGTCTTATGAGAATTTGAAGATAGTTCTGATTAAAATTTGATGGAAGTACAGGGATTTCCTAACATTGACAGTTGATTGTGGCCATATTTTTGAAGCTACAAGTGTCAAATTAGCTGTAATTTATTCAGTGTGTCTTGCCAAATGACCATGGAGAGTTATAGCATAGAGGTAACTCTAAGACCAGAAGGTTTCGAAGAAACGAGCTCAACTTTATGGCTCCCCTAATAAACAAATACCATAAACGAACAATAACCCAAATAGTTGAACTTTTCCACAAATGGTTTGGATGATACCCCAAACACGTCGTTAAGCAAAATAACCATAACAAATTTATTAGGGTCAGCTCTGGTACTATCTTCGGTCTCCCAAGCTAATCGATTCACCCCTCGAAACATAGGAAAATCCACTAACCTCTCATTTTATCTGTCAAACTTTCATAGCGAATCAAAACAAACATAGTGTAGTACTGGAATTTATACTATAATGGGGTACGTTAGTCGATTTGCTCAAGTAGTGAGCCAATTTAAAATCGTTAGTTTCGTATTGATTGTTGGTTATAGCGTCCAACAGCACGTACAAATGATAAAATTGTTTTACCAAAGTAAATGTTCTTTGCGAGCAACGTTCCGAGCGCTTCGCCCATTTTACGGTCGCAATAATCGTCCTACCGAAAGGACTATTGGCAATATGGTGAACAAATTCGAGGATACTGGTTCGGTGAACGCTCAACCACCACCCGTACACAAGGTCTGCCGAGAACATTAAAAAACATATATCTTATAGTCAGTCAGTTACTCCTCCCGACGAAAAACAGAAAAAAAATTTTCGACGAAGCGCATCACGGGAGAGATGAAAGTCGAAAACAGATGCAGCTCTGTTGAATATTCTCTGCAGTCCGCAAATCGCACCGTATGCTCCATAATTTGTGCGACGTAGAGGCAGTCTTAGCACAAGGTTGTTACGAAGCGGTCGGGGTTGAACATTCAGGTCAATTTGCGTCAAGATAGTCTCGCAATCTGTCCTTCCTTGCAGGTTATCGGCCACGGTTAGGGCTCTGCTTGTGTCTCTTCTAGTCCGGAGAAGTTCTAGGTCGATAAGTTGACAACGGCTTTCGTAACTGGGCAATCGAAACGGATCATTCCAAGGCAATGTACGCAACGCAAAACGAAGAAAGCGACGTTGAATAGATTCAATTCTCTCGGCACCGTTTTTGTAGTTTAGATTCCAAACCGCTGAACAATACTCAAGCGTCGATCGAACAAGCGAACAATAGAGAGATTTTAGACAGTAGATATCGGTGAAGTTTTTAGCTATCCTAAAAATGAACCCTAAAGTTCTTGACGCCTTATCAACAACATATGCAATGTGTTGCTTGAATGATAGCTGCGAATGCAAGATCACACCCAAGTCTTTCACCTGATTCACGCGTTCGATTGTCGAGCCAAGCAGGTCATAGCTAAATATTATCGGTTGTTGTTTTCGTGAGAATGGAATAGCGGAGCATTTGGCTGGGTTCACTACCATTCTGTTTAACCTGCACCAACTAGCGAATACATTCAGCTGACGTTGAAGAAAGTGACAGTCAGCAATGGAGCAGATTCGTAGGAAGAACCAGATGCACGTCGTTGAAGTACAGTATAAAAATTAACGGTCCCATGTGGCTTCCCTGAGGTATACCTGATGTGGCGAAGAAGCTAACTGATCTGCAATCTCCTATGGCAACCTTTAGTTACACCGAGCCTGCCGAGTTTAGCAATCGCAATAGCATGGTTCAACTTGTCGAATGCTGCGGATAGGTCTGAATAAATAACGTCCGTTTGAACCCGATCCGACATGCTTTCGGTTATATACGATGTGAGACACAGTAGATTGGTGGTTGTAGAGCGGCCGTACCCATGTTGATCAGCACTCAAGCACTGCAATGGGACAGCAACGGTTCCATAATCACTAGCTCGAATAGCTTCGAAACGGCACTTAACGATGTAATTCGTCGATAGTTATCCACAGATCGTTTCCTTCCTTTTTTGTGAACGGGAAACATGTGCGCAAATTTCCAGCAGGATGGAAATATGCCACTGGAGGGAGACATGCAGAACAGGCGATGAAGCGGAATTAACAAGCTAGCAATATGTCTCTTCAAAAATACAAATGGAACTCCATCAGGTCCAGGATTGAAGGATAACTCGAGCAGAGTCGCGGCCTTAGAAATCATCTCAGCATTAACATCAATTGCACCCAGCGTTTGATCATTTACTGGAACGTTCCTGGCAGCCAGGTTAATATGATCGTGGCAGCAACTTCTCCGTTGAATTCCATAGACGATGGGAGGCCGGATTCCCTGCATTGCTCATTCACGTAGTTCCAAAAGGATTTCGGGTGTAGCTTAAGTTTGCGCTCGATGCCTCGTTGGAAACTTGAAAAGCATTCACGACTGACTCGCTGGTGCATGTGATTCAGCCTCACATAATGTAGTTTCAGAGGAAGCGTGCGATACTTCGTAAATCTTCTCAATGCTGCTCTCTCGATTGGCTTCAACCTACGTAACTCTCTCGTCTGCCAGGAAGGGTGAGACACTTTGTGGTGAGTTCTTTTCGGGACGTGTCTGTCAATGACATAAGCCGAGACATGTGAAAAGGTTTAGCTGCAGCCTCAACGTCATCTGGATCAAGGATGTTCTACTACGGGACCGACATGCGAAGAGCGGCAGTAAAAGCGCTGCTACAAAGCAAGACTATGCTAGAGGGGTGGCTGGATTCAATTCCTGGTCCGGTCTAGAAATTTTTCGGCTTACATAAATTCAGCAATCGACTAATTTTTCAATAGCGTCCAAAAATATCCATTAGTACTGTCCCCTTTTTGAGTTAGCATACTTGATTGAACCCCATATATTTTCATAACTTATTATAATTAAGTAAATCAATCAATAAAAGCAATGCTAGCCAACAATTGCACAATTTACAATTAATTGTCGTAGATTATTATTGAGATGGTCGTAGATTATTATTGAGTGAACCGAAGAGTCATCATGAATCTGATTGGATCATGTTGTCCATAACGAGTACTACGTTTAGCTAAATGCAAGAAATGGCGTCGTCTCAATGGTAACTCTGGAACATACATATTCAATTCAGCGTGACTATCTGGGGCATCTATTTCGTTGGTCAACAAATAAGCCGGGTATCAATTTCCAGTAGCATATACAGCGATGTTCATATGCAGGAAGATTCAATGCATCGCACCAAGGCAAGTGTTGGAGAGCTAAGCGAACAAACTTTATCTGTACAGCCTCAAAGCGGTCATCGGACAGAATAAAAAACGTGGATCGCCAATGCATCGAACTCGCGAGATCCTAACGAGACACTTAAAACCGATCTATACACACCGAAAAGAAACATCTTCTAAAAATTTCGCAACGAAACGGTATCATCCACAGCAACTTCCAGAATGTCAAACATAGATAAAAGATGAATTATCAAGTAAAATGAAAAATCATACTAACATTGCTCCCTGGGCTTTCGACCCCTCTTCGCCCCCGGTTTGGATATATTGTACGTCTCAACAGGGTAGGTCCAGTGTTTGAACGGATCGGCAGCGGCCTATAAAACAAGAACAACAACAACGACACACGTCAGCATCTGTCCTCAGAGTCCAGATTGGCAAAACCATCCTTCACCACATACCTTATTCAGTCGGGTCACCAGATTGTCCTTGGTCTCGATTCTCGTCTGCTCGGCAATGTGCGCCACAATGTTGTCAAACGTTTGACCCGGTGAATAGCCGTACTTTTCGCGCCAAACTAGCTCGTTCAAAAACTGCTGAATGATCTGCCGGGACAGCAGCGACAGCGTGTTCTGGAACATGCGCGGTACGATCCGGCGCAGATAGTCCATGATGTTGGCATTGCTGTTCTTGTTGTTCGCATCGGAAGGCGAAACCTGTTGTACGATTTTGTAGCCCATATTGTTCAGGGTGCCCTTATCTACGGTCAGATCCGTCAAAATGACACTGTCCTTGTGAACCCAACCACTCAGCGGTTCCAGGATCTTCGAGAAACGTTTCTTGTAGTTTCGTTCACCATCGCTGAGCGGCTCAACGGCTCTCAATCGAACTACCTTAGCTTCCGGATCGAGAACGCCCAGTACTTCTACCTTGACTTGACGTTGTTGGCCATCCTGAAATGATATATTCCGAATTTTAGATGATTCTAAACTATGTCCCACAGATAATTCACCCTAACCTGTGTAGTCGTACCAAGCGAAATGACTCCGACCTCGATCTTCTTGCCAATACCGCCCATCAATTGCATGTGCTGTGACAAGGCCACCGTACAGATCGACCGCAACCAAGTGTAGAGACCCTTTACGTACAGATTGTCCACCTTCACCCAGTTCACCACGTTGGAAACGTTCGTCTGACAGCTCCAGTGGTAGATCAACTTAAGTATAACGGATGGCGGATGTGGGGACCCCTCGAATGGAGATCCGCTGAAAACGGAAATGAAACGCGTCGGACAGCATTCGCTAATCCAAACGTATCCTCCCGAGTAGGGAAACTTGGAGGCATCCGAGTACATTCCCAGCTTCAAAGGCGTACCCCGATGGATCTGGCAGTACTGTTCCGACTTGACCAATCCCTGCTGAATGAGCCACTCTGTAAACTTGGTGGCAGTGTGCATGAGAACGTTTTTGACTTTCGCATCCAGTTGCGGTCGATCGGCAGGAATTTTGTCTGATGCTCGAAGTGACGGTCTTGCAATGACCACCAGCGAGGGGAATGTCTTGCCTTGAATTTTGCTGAAGGAGACCTCCCTAGAATCAGCAGCCGGCTTGCCGCTGTCATCCTTAGTGAGATCAACAATAGCCGTGGGTTCAGCGGTGATCTTTTTCTTCTCCTTATCGCCACCGATAAGCAGTCCTCCGATCGCAGTCGATTCCGTCGGACGAACATTGCTGGCGGTAATGCTTTGAGGTTTATCCGGTTTCTTAGGTGTTTTCATGTCCACCTTCTTTTCTGGCATTTTCTTATCGTCTTTCTTCTTACTTTGTTCCTTAGAGGCGGCTTCCTTTGCTGCCCTCTTTTTCATTTCCAGTCGCTTGGAAAGCGGAATGTACTCCTCATCATCGTCATCCGGAACGAAATCTTGTCCACCAGTATTATCATCGTCGACTTTATAATCCGATCTTCGGCTCTTCCGTTTTCCGCTTTCTAGCATTGGGGAAGCACTGCGCTTCGAGCTGCTGGGAGTCACCGGTGGTGGGGGCGGTTTCTTTTTCAACGATGTTATCGGTTTCGATATTTGCTCCAACCCGGGAACCGGTCCCAACACTTGATAGGCGGTAAACACCTCACCGGAGAAAATATTCTTACCCCCAGATTCTTTGACGAGGTCCTTCAGCTTGTTCCTGATATCGTTATGTTCCTTTTCCGCTTTTTCATAGGCTACCTTTTGGGCCGGGCTCAGCTCGTCCGGCCAATATTCCAGGTGCAATGTTATTTCATCCTCCGGCGTGGGCGCCATCTTGGATTTCCCTAGCACTGAACCGGAGCTATTTCCAAATGAATTTCTCCACTAAAATCGACACACCACCTGAGGAAAACACTTTACCTACTTAACTGTCTGCACTTTCTATAAATGGCACTAGTTTTAAAATAGTAATTTGTAAAATTTCTGTCCAAACTTTAAATTTTTCGGGGAGCGCAAAAGTTTTGCACCAAAACACCTCGCGTCACTTTTTCAGCATTATTCGGTAAAATGTCAGGGGTGGACCGGAGGCAGCTTAAAAATATAGTACCTATACACGGAAACATTATAAACTCATCGATGCTTAAAATTAACCACTTTTTTATAGTAGAATCCAAGTGAAATTTATGCGTCACTAGTGGCGGGATATAGTACAAGTCGATGGTGATAAATTTATGGCAGCCGGTTTAAATTCCAGAGTTTGAGTGATAAATTATTGAAAAAAGAGTTCAAAATAGTGAGATACGAGCATTACTATGGATGATATGTACATGTAGGAAATTTGTCGAATAATGCAATGTTATATTAATTTTCATTGCAATGTCATTGAAAGATAATGAAAATGCGTTTTTTGATGCACCGATATTATTAAGGTTATGTTTTGTATGATTGAAATCGACGTCCAAGTCAGTCTGCTGGATATAATGGATGATGTTGGGGACTCCGTGCTAGCGGATTTAGAGACCTAGCATATTGTGTGCCTGGGCTACACCAGTAGATCAGCAGTAAAGCAAGAATTGTGGGGAATGGATTTGTTCTGCAAAGTTCCCATCCCGGGGAGCAGCCACATGAAATTAATCTCAAATCACTCCCCCGACAACAACTATTCTTCTGATCCGTAAACAGTGGAAACCTTTCTCCACTGCACGAATTTGTTGCTTCCCGAATTTGGAACTCGAAAAAGTTGAAATTTGTTCTCGTTGCATCCCGGGATAATGCAACAATCCTGCAACAACAATGAGAATGTTAAGCGGTGGAGCTTGTGTTTATGTAGTCTAAAAATTCAACTGTTTTCCTGATTGCAAGCAGTGATATCATTGTAGTCATTTGTCACTTTGAAGAAGGACACTTTTCCTACAATTCTACAAGCTTTTTGACCACCAAAAACGTACCAAGACTAGACAAATTTTCAATTTAAAAAGTGAAAATTCTGATGTGAGTCACGTTTGACAGATGTCTACATTTTTATCACCGCTACGACAACAGCGCCACGGGTGGCCGGTAATTGGTTGGATTTCACTATTGACTTCTCGGTGCAAGATCTCACTAATTCAACCTACTAGCCGAAATCAGCTATCAAAGTGTTCGACTTGACAGCGGTTTATTTTTTTTTTTCAACCAGTAAAATGCATGTTTTAGTGAAACTGGTAATTTATACTAAGGCCGTTCGCAATGCTGTTGTATTTTATAAGGACTGTTTCAATTTGAAACTAGAACAGAAACGCACCTCTCACAATGCTGAGTTGCAGTTTCATTATTCGAGCACTATTTTGCACCAGATTTGCAACTGCTCGAGTATTCTGTTTTATTTCTGAGCGAGTTTGAAACACGAATGGAACTCTGTTTCAAATTTCTTTGTATGTATTTAATGATGTTTCGAAGAGCTTCACAAAAAAAACGGAGAACTTCATAGAGAATAGTAAAGTTTATGGAACATGATGACTACAAACATCTTTTAGAACTGTGCGTTGCGCTGATCGTGTTGCAGTTTTATTTTTGACAGTTTCAAATTATATAATTGTCGAGAAGTTTAAAACAATTTTGAAACTCAACATTGCGAACGGCCTAACGGTGGCAGAGAAGTCTAAATCTCTTCTTCTGCCATCCTATGAATCTGTTACCCATCAAGCCTAGTATACATTTCAAACCGAAGTAAAATTTTAAGCAAGTGAAAAATCTTGAAATTTTGCCAGCGAAAAAGGTTGTGAAAAATTGGTTGTGGAACATTTTCTAATTTCCTCTTTTCGAAGTTCTCAGTTCATGTGAAACGAAATCGACCATTAAAATCTCAAACCATAAGTATAAAGGTTCTAGTATAGTTCTCTTTCCGAAAATGTATGGAGAAAACAAATATTTTTAATGGTAATGGTAATCAGTAAGCCAAACATTCCCATAAATTTTTTTACGAGGATTTCTTATTCTTACTACGTTAAATTTGAGATGCAATCAAACAAAATTTCAAACACCTTTATGTTGCGTGTGCTTCTCAATTTCAACTAGTTTTTGGAATTAAAAACAATACTCTAACTTTATTGATTAATCTGATCTTAATTGGTTAATTAATGGCACCAAGAAAATAATGTACAAAATATTGCGATGCACTCAATTATTATTTTGCACGTAAATCGAATCTAAAGTAAAAATCATGTGAAATGCTATTTTCTAGCAAGGGTTGCAAGATAATTCAGGTACAAATCCCTGCTTTCGAATTGTATTTTGATTTCTCCGCCCATCTCTCCCTCTGAGTATTTCTATCTTGGAAAGGACTTAATAATAGGTGAACCGGGAGTTTGCCCGCTTTTTAAGCTTTGTTGATTTAATTTATTATTGAATGTAGAGCATTTACTGTAATCTTGCAATTGACAAATCCATGTTTCAATCGACCACCGTGACGCTGCAATCGCAGCGGTGATAAGTCCGAAATAATGTGTCAAACTGAATACATTTTTGAAATTTCAACCAAAAAACTATTATTTTCTATTTATTCTAGCGAGTTTCTGTGGAAGTCAAAACATGATCCGAGCAAAAAAGTAGTACTCGTAATAATGGTATATAATGCTGAATTTTATCGTTCTTTGTTTTGAAAATATCTTCCAAATAAACAAACATCATCCAAATCACCCGATTTGTCAACCGACTAAATCTATTGCCACTTAAAAATTAATTTCAGCCAGTGTATTAATCAGCAGATTAAATCGTTTTTCGTCTGGTGCTACACCGAGCAATCGGCCTATTTAATAATTTTTCGTCGATTGATTTAGTCGGCCAACTTTGTCTGCTGTTTAATCGGTAGATGATTTCAAACCTTAACATGTTTTCAGTAATTTATAAGTCTTGATACAAAATAGTTTTATGCATTTTGTACAAGATTCATCCATGCTGACAAGAAATTTTCATGAAATTACATTGAAATTAAATAATTTTGCAAGCAATCAATGAAATTTTCAAGGGCTGTCACAGACTTATCACCGTCGGTTAGTGCTTATTCCTGCCACCAGGCGCGCAGGAGTTTAAGTTGGATTTCTCAATAGTGAACACCCCTGTGGGAACCACGGTGATACAGGCGGTAAAAAGAGGTAAAATGTGGCGATCCCACTTTTGACGTTTCTCTCTATTTGTTTTGATATCACCTTCTCCACAATCCCGCGCACTCTGCATGCACATTGCTTATCAGCCGGGACATCAGTACTGCATATCCACTGCATTGTCAATACTGCATTGTTTGTAATTAAAATTGATCAGTGCTAGCACTTGGCCACCGTCCTTACTGAACATAATGGATCAAGCTGAATTGTGTAAAATGTAAGTATCTAATGGCCAAGAAAAAAGTACAACGACATTAACGTGAACTGTCCAACCTCCAGATGCAACTCCGCCGCATCCAAGTATTGCTGCCCACGGTGTAACATTCTGTACTGCTCACTATCCTGCTACAAGTCCGAGCAGCATGGTCAGTGTTCCGAAAGCTTCTACCGGGAAAATGTTATCCAGGAAATGACATTCGCGAAAGATGAACAGGAAGCGGCACAATCGTCTGGAAAAATGATGGATATCCTGAAGCGACTGGGGGAGGCAGATTTACAGGACGGAACATTGTACGACGTCGAAGAAGACGTAGATGACGACGACGAAGAACGATTCGAAGAAATCGATTCCGATGATGGAGAAAATTTTCAGAATTTGGCTGACCGGTTGGGGGGAATTGATTTGGATAATGCAGACGCAGTTTGGGGACAGCTAACGGATGAGGAACGGAGAGAGTTTCAAAATTTGCTAGAAAATGGAGACATCAGCCAAATACTACCGATAGTGGAACCCTGGTGGACAAGGGATTATAACGTAGAACTGATACAATCTGCAAACAGTAAGAAGCTATCCGGAGGAGAGAAAGATCTAATTGAAAAGTGTCCCGCGTTGAAAAAGGGTGTCAAAAATTTCAAGGACCTCTGCAGTAAAGATCCCTCACCGTTGATGAAGTTCAACTTGGCGAACATATTGGCAGCGTATGCTCTGGCGTTCCGATATTTCAACGGTGATTTCAAGGAATGCCTACAGGAAGTTGCCAACTGTTTGATATCAATTTGCGGGAATTTGAAGCACAATACCATCTACCATTCGGAAAAGCTAGCCGTCGAGTCGGTTTGCCACGATTGTCGACAGGAGCAGCTACCGGCTGACCATGAGACAGCCTTGCTGATAGCCCAGGATGTAAGGGAAATTTTCGACGGGCCTCTCAACTGTGGAATCAAGTACAAGAAGCACTTTGTGTTGGCTGCCCTGTCGGATGTCCATCGCTTGCTCAGCCAGGCAAAAAGAGATGATAAGCAGCTGCAGCAAACCGAATCGGAAAAGCATAAGAAGGGAGAGTTTAGCAGCAAGTACAGTGATGATATCGGACAGCTTCCACATCTGGAGTTAGGAAAGTTGAAAAGTTGTACCAAAAAAATTGAGTTCATGCTTTCGTATGTTAAGGATTATTTGTGAAATTTCTGGTAAAGTAAACGGATGTGTCTCCCTAACCAAAGTAGATGTACGTAACTGTTGCGAAAATCATCGTCCTGGGGTGTGGTAAAAATGCAGCATTCCATCATATTTTAGAGACATTCAGCGATCTTTCAGTGGAAAGCCAAGGATTTCCAAGGTATGGTCGCTTGGTTGCAGTGTTCGGAAAATCATTCTCAAATCTCATTCCTTGAGCCTCCCTGAGAGAATAAACTTGCGTGTGAATGTGGCAAACAAATCTCTCGCTTAAGTTTCTCATGCATTTTCACGCAATGCCAAACAATCTTTCCTGCTTAAAACCTAAGAGGAAGAGGTGACAATTGGCTTCTCCCTCTTTTATTTCTACCTCTATCTCTATCTTACGCACATGAAATCGGCCAATCAGGAGCTGGTTCACGTTTGACAGAAAAGTGGTTCATTTTCGCCCCCGTATTGTCACCTCTTTTCTTAGCTTAAAACTCAGCGTACTACCCACCACAGTGTACTCAACAGATGGCGGTAATGTTTTAGCGACGATGTTTTACAGTGATGAATATTCAAGGTGTTATAGTACGTTCAGACTACAGAGTTATAACATGTTATAGCGCTATCTTGATGGTGGTTTCTGTGTTGCAATTATTTGACAACCGTTATAACATGTTATAACTCTCCAGTCTGGACAGCGTTTTATGTCTGTTTGTCTGTGCAATTGCCATCAATATAACTTCGTTGTGGCGAAGATTGAATTGAACTGATTCTTTGACATAAATAGCAACATCGCCAGTATGCCTCGAATGTGACAAACAGGCAACAGCTTTATATCACCGATAAACCGACATGAAACTTAAACTTAACTCTTGATCGAGAATCCATAACAGCGGATTCAAATGTGCAGCGATCCCATCTGTCAAAACCATAGAAATTATTTATCTAGATAAAAAATAATTTGCCCGGAATAGATTAGACACGAACCAACTCATACAGTTTGTATGCGTGTTCGTGGCTAGGATACACAATTTTCGCGAACACGGCGGCAGATGTCAGTTTTGTGCTTTGATCATAAATTTGATGATACTTTGTACGATCATTCATGTCGGTTTGTCGGTGTTTATATTCCGGAATGCTATACTGATCAATAGCTTCAATTTCTACAATATGTTTTTCTGCTAATAAAACCAAAAGTGGACGATTTTCTTCTACAATCTGACGTAATGCTTTATAGTTTGTAGATAACCCCGCAATATTAAAATACAAAATCTCTAATTGCGTTCTTCAGTGGTATTGAGATAATTGCATATTGGTAATCTTCATTACAAATGGAACCGAAATCCAAAATTTCATCAATTTTTGAGTACTGGGACTATTTTAAATAAGTCTGATTGCATTAGCAAAAATCACCATTTCCACTTTCCAAGTAGAAGGTCGGGAGCTCAATTCCAAGCACAACATTTTTTTTTAAATTTGTGTTCTACATGATTTGTGTTCGATCACATGACTCACGGCAATGAATGCATTGATCTAGTTTAAAAAATAACCGAGCATCCTTTCCTTGGAATTGGAGAGGTGAAGAGGTAACATTGGTCTCATGTAAAACAACGATGAATGAATTAATCATTCCCACAGGGCCTTGAAGGAGCTAGAGTTGCGATCGGGAGTGCTGATAGCTATTCACTTTCAAGCAAACTCTCATTGATTATTGAGCTGCCCTTATGATGAATTCTAGGATAGCTACATGGTTTGAATCCCATGTAACGACATGTAATATGTATGTAGTTCATTTTCTAATATATCTGTGTGGTACGTGCCACGTCAGAAATAATGGAAACAATCACTACTAAAGAATGACACTCATCCCGGTCTTATTTTCGGATTAATTTTCGCATAATTGAATAATCGTTAATAAATGTATAATAATGTCTTATTAAACGTTACTTCACATGAGAATCAAGCGTGTACAGAGCATCACTGTTTTAATTAAGGGGAAGCAGTGATGTCTAATAAACGCTGAATAATCAAAAATGTTATCGAATAAACTCTGTTACAACTCATATAAGTCGAATAACAGCTTTTCGACACACATTATACAACACCTATAGTACAATGTGTTGTGGTTGAATAAATTCTCCAAATTTGTGTGACCAAATCCTGAACAGAAATTATTATTAAAAATAATACAAGTATTATTAAGTTGAATAAAATCGTCAAGTAGTCGTTTCTTCAATAGATGATTGTTTGTTGGGTAGTCATAGGAAGAACGTAACGAAACTCCCCTTATTTCTTAATTTTTCCTAAATTGACGTGAGATATAATATAATAAATGGATCGCCCCAAACTGTGTTACCTGACTTATAACGAATATAGGTTGTATACGAGTACCTGGAATACAACGTATAGTTCGTCTAATTTTACATTGCAAATGCTATGCAAAATTAGACGATTCATACGTTGTATTCAGGGTACTCGTATACAACGTGTTATATCCGTAACCAAGGCCAACAAGTAAAACAAGCTGTTGTTAAGAGCTACTATTTATTACGTCTATCTTGGTTGGTGGTCGGATAAAGAATCAATCTCTAATGTCGTTTTCGTTTTTGCGGTGTAGCTACACCGGTGCTACACCGCCGTACACCGAAAAAATTCAAGGTGTAGCTATCGGTTGCACTTTTGTTTACAAATAAATGATGATGAGCTGTCAATGACTCGCGCTTATTGCTGCTTACACTACACCGGTGTAGTGTAGTAAAAACGAAAACGACATAACTTATGACAGTCAGGCAAGGCCTACTACATCTCCCCCTTTTAGAAAATGTCATAGGAAGAGAGCCATCTTGGAATTCTTGATTCTCGTACAGAACGTCGAATAAACTCTCCAACTGCTTCAGATGACACGGGCTTTTGTGCGGACTGAAGTTCTCCATCTTGAGCAGCAGGTTCATGATCGATTGTCGAAAAAGGAGTTTCGCCAGACGTACTTGCCACTTGACCATCAGCTTCGAGTGATACGAAACCAACAGGAATAGGGACATCGTGATTGAATGGCACTTCTGGATCCAACGGTACAGCTTCATCTTGAATTTCATCAAGCAGGATTTCCCATGGTAGTTGCTGCGTCGCTTGCTCTGGATCATCAGAAGTGTGACGAGGGCGCATTTGGTTTACATGCGACCTCACCAGCTTCGGTCTCCCGTTCATGTCCAGTGCAACGATATAGTTGCCAGAACCTTTCCGTTCGATGACTCGACCAGGAATCCAGGACTTGGCGTATCTGCGATGCTGTTCAACGTAGACCAGGTCATCTTCTTCAAACTCGCGCTTGACTGCTCCATGCCGCCAATTGAACTGTTCGTTTTGTTTGTGGTTCTTGACAGCTTCAGTTACAGGAACAGGTTTCTTCAGTAGGTTCAAAGTGGTGTGCACTGGTCTTCCGAGGAATGCTTCTGCTGGAGACGTCGACTGAGGTGTGTTTCGGTTTGGGATTGAACGATACACCGAAAGGAATGTCTGCAGGTGCTCCAGTGTGGGTGATCCTTCCGTAACCAAGGCCAACAAGTAAAACAAGCTGTTGCTAAGAGCTACTATTTATTACGTCTATCTTGGTTGGTGGTCGGATAAAGAATCAATCTCTAACTTATGACAGTCAGGCAAGGCCTACTACATCTAGGCCTACTACATCTACACAACGTGTATTCTTCTTTTTTTCTTTTTTTGTGAATTTTAACCATTGGCTAGTTCTTTACTCCACACAACGTATATTCGTTATAAGTCAACACAGTATTCATATTTAACATTTTCTCATTTAATTTTTTTTTTCAAGTCCGCCAACGGCCTCCTTTAGGGCACCATTTACATTTAAACGGATAGCTTCCATACCGGCCTTCAACGCGTTATCAATTTGAGCAGCATTCTGATCTCACATGTGATGTGATCGAGGCCGAAATAGAAGATATTCTCTTCACTTCTTCCTCGATATTTTTAACATGCGAGATCAAATCACTTGGCTCGCGACAACTAAAGCCCTACAGTGAAAACATAGAGATAACTAAAAGTAAGGACGTCTATCAACAGTTGTTCCAAACGAACCGTCAAAATGTACCGCTTTGCTCGATTTTAACAGTTTTTTCTCAGTTTTGTGGTGACAGTCGTCCATACTTTAACTAAAGGGCTTTAGTCACAACTAGACAGACAATCGTCACACTTTGTCCGTGACAACCTTTGTCGTACTCCTTGTAAGTGTAGTGCATCTCATGTGGAACATAAAAAGACTGAATTGGGTAAAGAGGCGACATCTAATCCATTGGACAGGTCTTCTGCTCGATTGGAATAACTTTTCCTATGACTTTGACAGATAATCGATTGTTTCAATTTTGACATGTCGTCTCTTTATAAATTCAGCCTCTTTAGTGGAACAGACGAGAAAACTTACCACTACAGGTTAACGGCAGATCGTTTGCCACTACCTCCGAATCACACTTGCCGTTGCCACATTCCATTTCTACCTAAACACCGTCAACGTATGCACAACGTACACAGAGAGAGACAGTCAAACACAAATCGGTTTCACAGATAAAATTCTCAAACCATAAGTAAAAAGGTTCTAATATAGTTCTCTTTGCGAAAATGTATGGAGAAAACAACTATTTTGAATGTTAATGGTTATTAACAACCCATTATTTGTAAGGTTCACATCCAAAAAACCATAATACATAAGGTTAAAACTTTATCACACAAAAGTGCATGTAAAGTTCCATAACCATTTCAGTTAAGGTTTAGCAGGGATTATAAACAATGTTTAGCCATTTTCGGTAAGGTCAAGCAATGGTTCGCAATTGTGCGGGAATGTTAAAAATGGGAGTTGTCACTTCTTTCCGTAGAATAACCTAGCTCAGTGGGAATAGGCTGCCCAACAAAACAATTATAGCTGCCGATCAGCTTATACAAGCAAAAATTAGCTGCATAAGGTAAATTTTGGCTGTATAAGCTTATCTGCAGCTAAAATTGTTAGTTGGGTGCTTCTATACCAATGTAGAGTACGCTAGGCGATTATGACAGGAAACGTCAACCAAACCGTTTGTTTACATCCAAATTACAGTTTTTACATTTCAAATTAACGCATATTGTTATGCGTATCTTGCATATTTCCATCGTGAGGGGTCTTATTTTATTAATTTTCTCACATTTGAACGGATTTACAGCTCAAATAACACCACATTAAAAATCCGGAAGATCATAACCGCTGGGGTAGTTTTATAAATCTTCACTTTTCTTAACAAAAATATGTGAAAGGACCAGCCGGTTCACTCCGAAATCGATACAGAAAACAAAATATACCATGTGGATGATGATTACAAGCACCTGCGATGGATAAATTAATCAGAAAAGGTAAAACATTTTCCTCTTCCTATGCTTCATGGCGAAGATTCCAGCCCTCATCACTCTTTTGATGGTTGTCTTATTCACCACCAGAGAATGAAACGATCGCTTAATTTCCATTGGATTTGCCTATTGGTCTTCGGGGGATTTACGTCAGGCCCTCAAATCTGAACGATCGACGTACGTAATAGCTTATTGTGAAGTAAGGGCCCCGTTAACGTGGGCAGATCACCTTTTCTTGGTACGTTACGGGTTGTAAGATCTAGATTCTGTAATCAAAGGAACGCATCTTAGTCCTTGTTACTTTTTATGCTTTGTTGATAGTGACAAGACTCGGCTTTATCCACCGGGGGTGATCTTGAAACAAGGAAAAAATGAGTTAGTTAGTCATCTATGTGATTCCTAATCGTCTATTCGTTGTTCTCTACTTTGAAGTGGTCAGGACTACGGTTCTGATGCATGGTCATTATCGGCGTCATTCCTTAATTTTGTTGCTAAGGAATCCAATTTTGACTGACAAAGGGGCGCGCTTTTGGAGGATGTTTCAACACTCTGAAGGGTATAAATAGCGGGACCTTTCAATTAGAATCGATTCCTTGCGATGAATGCAAGAATGACAACTGTATCAAAACCGAATACTTCATCATTCCTCAATAGTTATGGAGTAATACGACATGCACTATACTAAGGACACAATAGATCAAATTACTGGTCGCAGTGGTGTTAGGTTCCGAACAGAGGAAAAAAAAAGGGCCTCGGTGGCCTAGTGGCGATAGTTTTTTTCTTACTGAGCAGAATATACTGTGCTTTATTCCAGGCTCCTTTAAATTACTGTTTTTATGCGGTTTTCCTGCCTCGACGTTGTTTGATCGACGGATCTCAATTTGAAACCAAATTGAATGCAACTTGTTTCATAATATCACAAAAAATCATCGAAAAACAACAGAGGTCAATAGATGGTAAATCCCAGTTCCCAGGACCATTCAATTGGGTTCTTTAATTTTGAAAAATTTATCGGTTATTATATATCATCTGAAAGAACTTCGTTTTCTGAGCACAGCGCTATTTTTTTTTCGAGCCCACACACTTTCATCTCGATTTTTATATCAAGATTTAAAGCAAAATAATAACTTCACTGTTTGACACTAAACTGACAAACTGACAGCTCACTCCCATACAAAGTGACACCGAGGGGCGTTAATAAGGTGATTACTGCAAATATAATCGCACTTATTTAAAATAGTTCCAGTTTGTCAAAATTAATGAAATTTTGGATTTGGGTTTCATTTTTAATGCAGATTACGAATATGCATTTACCCCAATACCAATTGATTCTTTGTGCTATGTTTTCACATGTTTTCACTGTTTATGATCAATCACGGACTAGCAATCATTGGTATGTGCAGTCAGTCTAGGCTAAGCTATAAAGAATAAGCTATTCTTCCAGAGGGCTTTGAGCAAAGATCCTCAATTAACAAGATGTCGAGCAAAAATGCCACGAAATTAAATAGTAGATTGTGATTAACGGCTAATAATGTATCGGACTATACTAAGCGACCGGAACAGATCGTGCCGGTAGGTATCAGTTCATAACATCGGGATTTCTTTTTCGTTCTACCAATGAACACCTGCGCAGAGTTTGAAGTTCAAATATGTACCTTGTATATTTTTTAAACTCATCTTTCTCTCTTCCTCATGTCTGTGTTGTTATAAGTAATGTTTCAAATTTTTATTATAATTTTACGCTTTCGTATGCATAGCATGTTTGTTTGTTTGTTTGTTGAAGAATGTTTCCCTACTTCTCTCCATTCTTCCTTTCTCTTTCGACTTACTTTCACTTTCCTTTATCGCTTGTGGTGATATTCTTCTTATTCTTTTTCTTATATTTGTTTGTGTTTTCCTATGTCATATGTAACCGTGTTTTTTTATAAACCCATATCGTCGGCCCTTGTTCCACTACTCTTCTGTGCGTCTCTAATGGTACTGTAGTAGAGTAAAGGGTATGTTAACATTAAAAGTTCCCAAACTATCAGAATGTAGTGGTAGTAGTAGTAGTTGTAGTAATTGTTGAACGGTAAGTTTTTGTCCTTGAATACACTGGTAGGGTTGAAGTGTGGTTTCTCGTTTGTTTTGTTTTTTTTTCTGTTTGTGTCTAACTCTTTAGCTGTTAACAATCGTTTCGGAAAGAAAGGAAGAAACAGTTTGTTCGAGCTGCTTTGTATGTAATTCTACTTCCTATCGATTTTAAAATGCTTCTACTATCTAATAATAGAGCAACACCGATCCCCGTAAGAAGCTACCGAAAGGCTACGGAGAGACTTTCATTGGAAATAAAAGGTCGCATGCTCAAATTTCGAAATACCGTTATCTTTAGAACAGCGAGAACAATACTGATGATGACGATGATAATGATAGTAAGTTTGACGTTTTACACAACCGAACCATTGAATCAAATTAGAGGAAAACAGTCATATCGTGTTATGCTTGGTAGTAGTAATAGTAGTAGTAGAAGTAGTAATAGTAGTAGTTGTACATAAGTAAGTAGGTATGCTTATCACGAGTCTGCACGCAACAAAAGTGCTTCAATATGAAGTTACACGGAATTGTTTCCGGAGGGTTGGGATCTTTTACCGTCTCCATCTACTGGCAGAATTTTCGAACTCTGGAAAATTGATAAAACTTGTGTCGTTTCGTTTAATAGTGTCGTAATTGGTTATAATGCTAGCTGTTGCTCGTCGGACCAATGTGCATTCAGAAATGAGGGGTGTCCCTATTTTGAAGCCATGCTACAATTTTTTAAACCCAAGGCTGAAATGGGAACGTTATTTAGGATGTTAGAATTCTAAAATGCTTATATAGGGCTTTACGTGTGTGGTAAGAGGTATAGATTTGAAAGCCTCGGAGATGTTGTATAAAAGGTGAAAATGGGAGGAAAGATGTCTAGTAATCAATAAAGTCAACGAAAATTATGTAAAAACAGAACTAACATGTAACGATTAAATAGTCGATAATAGTTATGTGCATCTAAAAAGGAGGTTAGGAATAATACAACTAAATAAATGGTAAATAGTTTAAAAAAGAAAATGCTATATGTAAAGGGGAAAAAAATTGTGCTAGAGTTATTAAAGATGGTTGAGATTAGATTTGCTGACTCTTAAATAGAAGAATTTCAGTTTTCATAAAAATGTTAGTGTTTAGTTTTTTTTTCTCTATAAAATTGGAATTCTCTCAACGACTGGAAGCGACAGTTTGAACAATGCTTGCTCCATCATTTGGTTCGCTAATATGCTTATTTGTGTGAGTGTGTGTTGGGAGAGGAATAGATTTTTGGCACCTAAAATATTCAAAGTGTTGTTTTAGACTTCTCTAACACTGGCTGAGTATTTCATCTTAACGTAGTACAGAAAAACAGACAATGTTCGTGCCCCTCTAAACACAAGGCACATAACAGGAAAGATCGAAGGAAACGACACAGTACGCCGTTTCCGCTAAAAGACAATAATTACGAAAACATCAACAGAGTCTCGCCTCTAAAACCAAGGTCCGCAAGATCGAACGAGGTAACAATATTTACACCTACAAACGGGTAGAATATTGACTTATACTGGACCTTACATCTTCGGAAACATGGCCAGTATGGCGGCGCATATCTTTTGCGGGTTGGTTTCGTCAGGATACATCTGCATCACGGTTTGCACCTGCTCTTCGGGGAAGATACTGGCCAAATGATAGTGCAGCCGGCGCCGTTGATCCTGCAGCTGCTGGTGGGCTTGTGACGCGGATTGAGGTGGACCAATCACACCGGAACCAGAACCGGAACCCTGATTGCCCGCCTGTTGCGATGGCGGCGGCCACAGGTTAATGTGTGGTTCTGAGGACGACGCCGGTGGTGGACCGGTGTGCCACGGGCGGGATGGATCCGGCGCCGAAGCGATGCGGGTTACGTTCTGTGCAATAGACAAACATCTCGTGTCATAAGAAGTTGTGATTAACAACATAGATTACAAAGCTTACCTGATGTAAATCCCAATGGGCGGCCGGGTTCGGCCGGGCTCCTCCGCTCAACGAAGGAGCCAACGGTCTATGGGGAGACAGTTGCAACGCTGCAGTTCCAGAATGGTGCTGAGGTTGCTGCTGCTGCTGCTGCTGTTGCTGTTGATTGACGTTCCGCTGCATCTGATAGATTCGAGGGTCACATCCGGCCGGATTTAGCGTCAACTGACGCTGCAGCTTACGATGTAGATTTACACTAGGATCTACTAGACTACGATCACATGGATCTACTGGTTGTTGTTGTTGATGTTGCGATGGTTGTGCTTGTTGTTGTTGCTGCTGCTGCTGCTGCTGCTGTTGCTGCCGATTCCACAGTGATGCACTGTAACTATTCGAATGATGGAGCTGATTGTACGTCTCCTTGGAAATATTTTCTATACTATGAGATTTAGGGAAGATTTGCGAATCGACTAAATTGTGCGGCAGCGAGAGAGGCGAAAGGTCCCAGTTGGATCGGTTGGGAGTTGGCATGAACGGATGCTGCTGGAGGTGCAACGACTGAGATTGCTGCAACTGTTGTTGCTGCAACTGATCACCAGGGTTTACTCCGTACATACTGTTACTAGTACTACTGCCCGTATCTGGTGGAACGTTGGATCTGGTACGACCTGTGTGAAAAATCAGAAAATTTAGTATTCATCTTAAACAAACATCTAAGATCAAACTCACATAACGCTTTCCGTTTATCATTGATTGGACTAGTTTCATTGCTACTGTTCGACAAGGGTACGCTGAGCGATTTGCCTTGCACCACGGTTCGGCCACCGCAAGCTGGACCTCCGCCGCCGTCTGAGCTGCCACAACTCCGAGCCTGTAAGTGGCGAGCCGCATATTCAGACAGTCGTTCCGTGACGGACTTGTGCGGCATACTGCCCCGTTCCGGATGGTAGAATTTGCATTTGTTCCCATAGGTACACTTTTTCCCGTACGGACACGGCGGAGGAGGATCGCCTTTGCGTGGCTGCACCCGTAGGAAGTTGTCCAACGTCGGCCCGGATCGCCCGAGGGGATCATCCGGTGGCATGAAGCGATCGTTCACGAACGAGTACATCAGCACCCGTTCTTCGACCACCTTCTTGAACTCGGAACTCTCCTGCACCAGATCACGGTAGTTATCGTTCGATACCACGATGCCGTCGTTCTCGGCAGCGAGCTGAAATGGAACAGAACGAGAGACGCTATTGAATAGTGCGTGGAAATATAGGTTATTGTCGTTAGCGAATGATCGAATCAATACCAATAGACAGACCTTGGCAGATCTTAATATTCTTTAGCCTATGACCTTCGATTTAAAGATAATTGAAGATTGAGTACTTCAAAAACAACTTACAAACCCGAAACGAACGCTTCAGAAAATAAAGATCTTGCAGAACAAATCACATTTAATGTCAGATACCATTGATGACGTCGTATTTGGGGAGGGTAGGGGGATATATAGGTAAAGTAAAATACAATACGATGGTGAAGGAGGGGGTCTAAAATTGGTCAAAAATACGATACGTCATTTATGCATGGTCCCTCACGTGATAGGTGTTATTGTGAATGTAAATTTTATGTCTAGTAACCTCTCGAACAACGTACACAATCAATAATAACGACCCAAATTTGAGTTCAGTTTACTCATAAATAGCAAAACATGCGAAAACTCTGCGCTGAGTAAATTTTCCTGAGCTTTAGTGTGATAATTTATTAGCTAGAGAATTGTCTTAGAAGAGGGTAGGTAGCCAGTTCCGTAAGAGTACGGCAGTATACAAATTGAATAGAAGTTGAAAATGAGCGAAGGGCCATTAATGCGACAGTACAAGTCAAACGCACACTTGTTTGCCTAACCCGAACGATGTATGCGGAGATTTGAAGTATGTCTTCGCATTGATGGCTTTGCTCATTTTCAACTTCTATTCAATTTTCATACTGCCGTACTCTAACGGAACTATCTACCTACCCTCTTCTAAGACCATTCTCTAGCTAATAAATTATCACACTAAAGCTTCATGTTAGATAGCATTTCCAACCAACTCTGATCTTATTTGTTGTTATTTAAACTGACCAGATGACTATTGTATGGATAGCATAGATCTCAAAATACAGTATAAAGATAATGTTTACATGTACCCATACACCGCATAGTGAGAGAATATCGAACCAGTCAGAAGACCTCTTGAACAACTTTGACGGTGCCAAGATCCACGATGCATTTTGGAATTAATAGCTAATCCAAATTCTAAAACAATCGTTTTCAGTCATCGATCAAGAAACATTTCAAATTGTGTCAATGCTAAAAGAGAACGATCAAATCTTACAATAATCTCAGCTTTACTAAATCCGATATCTCAAAAATATGGCCAAATTAGATATCTTGAAAATGTTTCAAGTTCGAGAATCTTGACAGTTCCAAAGTTTCAGAATCAAAGCTGCAGACCCTGAATATTCATTTTAGTCCTACATTGTGTGTCAGAGCAATAAAACCAGCTAAAATCATACCGCCACTAAAGCCAAAAATCTCTTTTGGTAAACAAACAGTTTTTATAAAATTTTCAGGGCTTTTGGACAAACTAGTGTCTTATAATTTTATAAAATTATACACAATGTCAATCAAAAACTTCTGATATTTAGGAGGTAATTACGTAATATTGGACCTTTTTTCGCTTAACTTGCTGTTCCTTTTAGCAGGGTGGCCAGCAAAATTTCATTCAAAAATTCCTGGTTTTCCCGGTTTTCCCGGTGCAAATCTTAAAAATTTCCCGAAAAAATGTACACTCAAAAAGAAGTCGAAATTCCCATAAAATTTCCTTGTCTGGCAAGCAATCTGCAGTTGTGGGCTGAAAAGCGAAACTTTCGTTTCTTCTGGGACCAAGAACCAGCAAATTTACCAGGAGGAGTGCCTATTGAAGATACTACTGCCTTTTCTGGAGCAATATGAGGTGGATTGCCTAAGCTGTCACTTCTCAAATTCGACCAAAAAGTGGTACGGCGAAAATGGCGTCCCAAGGAGATGAATTCGGCCAATACTCCGGAACTAAGGCCAATTGAGGAATAGTGGTCAATTGTGAAGCACATACTGAAGAAAAAGGGTGGACTGCAGTTGACCTGAAGGATTTCAAGCGGAAATAGGCTTTGGCGGCCAAACAAGTGGGAACAGGGCTCGTGCAAAAGATGATGGGCCTTTTTTCGTGTTCAACTTTCATATTCAAGATTTGTGGATTATAAAAATCTTCGTGATTCCAGATTTAAAAAAAAAATAATTTCTACGACCAGGAATTGAGAAAATATTCAAAATGTGGGATCTTGATTTTTGTCACCCTGAACAATATTCGAGGCTTTGAAAGAACTTTCAGGATTCTAAAGATTTTTTAAATAATTCTGCCATGAAAACCTATAGAAGTTTGAGGTAAATTGAAAAGGAAACAATGTGTAAATTAAAAAAAAAAATGCTGAGGACGATTCCTAAAAAAAATCTAAGGGAGCTTTGACAAGAATCCCGCATTTTGAGATATAATCATAACAAATTCTGGGATGAATTCCAAGGTATTTCTCGGGAGTAGAAAGGAAGTTCTGCATTGAATTCCTAGGTGATTCTGAAGCAACTTGTATTTGAATCGTGATGAGGACACCAGTTTTTTATTATAGTCATTTTAACACCCTTGGGTCATTCGTGACTTGTCCGCGGATGAGATTTGAACTCATAACTTTGACGTGAGAGGTATGGATGTTAACCAATACGCCGGGGCCGTCCCCGGATACTAGGTTTTAAGGAGAATTCAAAGAGAATTATACCCATAATTACACAGAAAAATTACAAGGGATTTCTGAGGAGCGCTTTGAGTTCAAAACAAAAATAGAGAAGAATTCCAATGGAATTTAATTATTGATATACAGTTAACTCTCTGCAACTCGATATTCCATAGAAAATCACCATCGCAGTAGCTATGAAATTCATTTTTACTATGGTTCTATAGTTCGATACCGAGTTAGTGGACTTCGAGTTATGGAGAGTTGACTGTAATTGCAAAATAATTTTAAGAAGGATTCGAAGATAGTTCTTTTTTTTCTTATATGTAGAGCCTTTTTACAACTGTGTCCATTACTTAGGAATATTGTTGTCTGACCCATTTTATTTTGGTGCTAGTCACATATACTATCACAATTAAGGTGTGATAGACATTTGTTGACATTGCACGCTGTCCCAATCAGGCACAAATCAGGCACTGATAAAGTCTAACACCATTTTTCGATTACTTTGCCAAACTTCAAAGGGTTCTAATATCCCTTTTCCAAATATTGACATTCTTTGATTGAACAGTACGTTTTCAAATTGACAAAACCAACATTCGCTAGACGAAATTTTTCCTATTTTATATAAGTGATATCTGCTAGGGCAGTGACCAGTCATCAGATCAGTTAGGGCCTGTTCATAAACTACGTAGACAGTTTTTTTTGGGATTCTGGACCCCCCCTCCCCCTGCGTAGACAATTGTCCATACAAATGTTTTTAAATTTGTATGGGCTGTGGATAATTGTCAACCCCCCCCCCCCCCCTAAACTGTCTACGTAGTTTATGAACAGCCCCTTATTACCCGAAGATCTCATTTACTAAGATTAAGCAAAATCCGGGCTTTTGCTGCACTTGGTCTTATAAATCTTATCGCCTGTCTGGATACATATGTGGCGTTCCACTTGGATTCTACTATGGACGTTTCCCAACTTTTTAGTTCCATCCTTATAGTACACTCAGGGACTCCACAAAATGGTTCCGGACCGATGAAGTTCGATGCAGAAGCTCGTCTTGCTAGACTGTCGGCATTTTCATTTCCTTCAATGTCACAATGGCCGGGCACCCAGTATAATATGACCTAGTTCCTTTCGGCCAATTGTTTTAAGGAAGGAATACATTGCCACACTAGCTTCGATCGACATGTGAACGCCTTAAGCGCATTAAGAGCAGCTTGGCTATCAAGATTATATACACATTTTGGCAAACCTGTATTTTCTTGTTAGACAGATGTTTGCACATTCTATGATTGCTTGAATTTCTGCTTGAAATACTGTGGGACTATGTATGTCCCTTTGGAATAATTATACTAACCCCAGCTCCAGTATTTTCACCCATCTTCGAGCCGTCGGTGTAAAATACAATAGATCCTGGACGTATGTACGGCCCACCAGACTCCCATGTATGGCGGCTTGGTTTAACCACTTTGAAGGGAACATCTTAGTTTGTCTTTGTTACCATCCAATCTTCTATTGTTTTTACAGCTGAATTTAACCTTGTCAAGATGAGCGTTCCAGTTCAGTTTCCTATCCAAAGTAACACCTAAGTATTTAACTTCATCCGCCCATCTAGAGTAGGTTGCGTCAACATATTTTTTTCCTTTTGGTGTAAGGAACTATGACAGTTTTTGAAGGGTTTACATTTAAGCCCTCTCTCCTACACCAATGGAAGGTCATGTTTAGGGCAGTTTGTAACCGATTTGAAATCGTGTTCTCAAATTTTCCCCGCACTATCATGGCCACATCGTCTGCGTAATCAATCACCTCGAAACCCTGCTCCTTTAAACTCTTAAGGAGTTCGTCCACTACTAAAGACCACAATAAGGGTGATACTACCCCTCCTTAAGGACAACTCTTCATCGATTTTATAGTTAGTTGCGCACCTCCAAGATCAGCAGAAATGTCTCGATCTTTGAGCATCGCCATTATCCATTCGATAATACAGTTATCCAAGCCCCTTGCTTCCATCAGCTGAGCTGTAGGATGCATGATCGACCACGACTATTTCCTGGACTTCAAGCGATTTCTCGATTTTATTAACCAGCGATTGTCGTAGATTTACCTGATTGATAAGCGAATTGAAATTTGCTAAGAGGTAACCTTGCTAAACTTGTTGATTTAATGAAGTCATCCACATTTTTTCCGTTTTCTTCAACAAAGAACAGAGGGTTTCAAGACTTTCGGAGTCGTTGTATCCCTTTTTCCAGCTTTTGGAATGAAGACAACTCGAACCTTTCTCCATGTTTTTCGTATGTGACTCAAAGCAACACTGTCTTTAAATAGTTCAGTAAGAGGGGAATGAGTACTTCTTTTCCCTTTTGAAGTAATTCTGGGAATATTTCATCTTTCCCGGCAGAGTTGAAAGGTTGAAAAGAACTCAACGCC